TGAGGCCGGGCCGCCCAGTCAAGATCTAGGAAACCGGCATTGTTGCGTCCGGAAGATTTCCACACAGTTTCTCCACAGTGTGGCCACGTTTTCCACGACTCGGCGAGGCGGTTCGCCTCAAGACGCTTTTCCGTTCGAAATGTCGCGCCGACGCTGTAAAGTAGCGGTGCGGTTCGAGCGCCGCGGCGCGCCGCCGGGACGCCGGCCGGCTTGGGGCGAAGGGCAGCGAAGGGCAGCGAAGGGCAGCGAAGGGCTGGAGGGAAGTCGCGACGCAGGGCGCAGCCGCAGGGCGTGCGTAAGGCTTACGCAGGGAAGGGAAGGGCTGTGGCCGCCTCGCCTTCCCGCCTTGCCGCCGCCGGCGGCGCCCCCACCCGCCGCGCCGCACTTCGGCGCGCGCTCGGCTCCGTTCGGGCGAGCCGAGCGGCACCCGAAGCCGGCCGAGCCGAGGCCGAGGCCACGCCCCGCGCTGCCGCCATTGGTCGCCGCCGCCCGTTCGTCATGTCGGTCCGCGAGCTTCCCGCCGTCTTGGGTTGCCCGTTCCGCCGCGAGAGTGCGCTGCCCGTCCGCCGCGCCACTGCCGCCGAGCCGGCGAGGCGAGCCGGCCGGGTCTCTGGCCGAGGCCGGCCGCAGCGGTGTGCAGGTGCGCGGCCCACCGGGTTGCCTGCCTGCCTGGAGAAGCCGGCCCGGCCATTTGAACGCGCCCCGAAAACTGCGAGTTGAACGCCAACTCGGCCAGAAAGTTGGCGGCGGCTTCTTCCTCTCTCTTCACGGGGAAGAAGACAGATAAAAGTGATCCTGCGAACAGCGCGCCTCACCCTGCTTGCCCGAGTCAAACACTGAACGGGAATCACTTTGCTCCACGTGCGGGGGATCAAGAAGCCTTCTCACACTTCGACACCGCTAACTTAACGCTACCCCCCAATAAAAACATCAGTAACACGCAGAATGTTGTCATTTTGATACCATTTTGAGCAAACTATTTAGGAGTCCTGGGTCAAAGTTTCGACGAGTCAGAGTCATTTCGACCCCACTGACGTCACGTCCCATTGGCCGTTTCGTGACGCACTTTCCGGCCCCGTTTTGCAGCCGAGTGACTAAGCGAGACTTTTTACACGCCTTGCGTTACAGATGAACAACAAAAACCGCCACCGAAACATCTCACTTTGTAGTGCGTCGTGGCGGGGGGGGGGGGGCAGTCATAACCCATTCACTGGTGGCCGCCTCGGCCCCGCCGGCCGGGTCCCGCACGAGTCCGCGTAGCCCTGGCGCAGCCCTGGCGTGGCCGGAGAATTCCTTTGACAGCTCCGACATCCATCAAGAAGCGTGCTCCGCTTGTCCCGTCCCGCGCAGCGCGTCGCAGCGACTCGCAGCGCACGGACCGAGGACCCAAGGACCGAAGGACGCTTGAAGGAGAGAGAGAGTCTTGCGCGGGGGCGGCGCAGAGCGTGCCGGCGTCACGAAGACCCTCAAGAGGCCCTGGGCAGTGCTACCGCCACTTGCCAGTGGCCGCCCTTGTATGTAATCCTTTCTTGACTCGCCGCCCTGCTAAAGCCCCTTCGGCCTTGCAGTGCCTTGCAGTGTGCACGAGGCTTGCCGAAGGGTTCGAGGGAGCGGCGGCCACGCGACCTGCGTCACTCAGCGTATTGCGTGCGGTTTGGTTCTAGTTCGGCCTTCCGCCGCGGCGCTGCAAGCGCTGCAGCGCCATGTGGGCCGTAAAACAATTACACGGCGCGTATTTAATGTGCAATAAGAGCGCGCGACGACAGCACTTAACATCCGAGCGCGCTATAAACGGATTTACACGGCCAAGCGAATCCTCACGCTTTATAACCAGAGCACGATGAGGCACTGTAAGAGTCTAGCGCCCTTCCGGTACCGAGAGAGACATGCGCCCACCGTGCTTCCCACGCTATCATGGTCGCCACTTGTTATCTTTGTCCTTCTGCCTCCGGTGCGTCCTCTGGCCGACAGCAAAATGAGCAGACGCACGAACAGACAGGCGGTCAGGACGAAAATCTCACACGGCCGAACAAAAAAGGATGTCTCCTTCCGAAAAAGAAGCGGAGCGCCTACACTTTGTGAGAAACGAGGAAAGCACGGCGCTGTCAACACGAAATTTCGAGCAACGTCGGCGCAGCTGTGCCATGTGTGCGAGAAAGGAGAAACTTGTCAACAAACAATCACGTGGCGATATCTCGAAAACGGTGAGCGTTACATGCTTAGTGCAAAGAATGACTTGAGTTTAAAAATCGATTTCTAGACTTTTTTATCTTAAGTGCAGCGCTTGTAAGGCCCGCCGTTTTCGAGATATCGACCCGCCAAGTGCGGACTGCAGTGGCGCTGCAGTCAGGAAGGCGCGTGAGGGCGGGCCGGTCGGCCAGGCGATGCGAAAAAGTCCTGTCCACTTGTTATATCCGCTGATGACGCTGTTTGGGTGGGAGGGACTGGCGGCGGGTGTCAGGCGGTGTCAGGCAGGCAAGAGCACGGCCTCGGAGGCCGAGACTGCCGAGACCGAGACGCGGAAGGTGTAATTATGATCTCCACCCCGCCATACATCACGCGCCGAGTTGCAGTGTCCCCCGCCCCGCCCCACCCCACCCCACCCCGCCACGCCCTCCCCCTCCCACTTATGTCATCGGCACGGGCCGCGGCGCGTCAATGACACCTCACAAGACTGATTTCGGGGGCGATTTACCATCGCCACTCTGGACCGGTAGTTTATAGTGCAGTAAGCAGCGATTTATCTGTTATTATTGCACCTGTTGAATGGTGTCAGGTGGTGCCAGGCCACGCCAGGCCTCGCTGAAAAGGTGCCGCTCCTTTGTCAGCCGGTGCACTTCTTAGCCTTCCTGCCGTTTTGCGGCGGTCGGGCGACGTCGGGCGAGAGGCGCTGCTGACAGGTCGTGGTGGCCGTGGCTGCTGTGGCTGCAAAGACTGATCCGATATCTGGAGAGAGAGAGAGATAAAGCACCGCACGCCTCGGGGCCTCTGCAGGCTGCTTCCGAACTCGCTCTGTCTCTCTCGCACTCACCGGGCCTCCCGTTGCGGTGCGAGAGAGACAGAGCGACCACACTGTCGGCCCAATTTTCTGGTCGATGGGTGCTCTCTGCTCCTCGGCCGGTATGAAAAAGTGCGCACGTGACAGGTTGACAATTACGGCGCGCGAGCGAGACGGCGATAGAGGCGGGCATTGTAGACGGCGTGGCGCGGCGGCGAACGGGGCGACGCGCCGCCTTCTCATATTTCATGCGCAGCATCATGTCTGTTAAGCGCTTCTTAATGCGCATTCACTGAAACGGAAAGTGCGAAATGGGTTTGTGAGATTCATAGCGCGTGGCGGCGCGGCGGCACGGCCCGCTAGGCCCCGCTGCCCCTTCCCTGCGCCCGCCCCGCTTGGGCCGCTTGTCGGACAGGTTGTTGGTGTCAATGCAGGACTTCATTTCGCCGGCGGTGCAGCAGGCACGGCACACTGTGCAGGCCGTCTAGACGTCGGCAAGCGGTAATGAGGAGCCACTTAATTTATGGTTATCCAACAGACGGACCGCGAACCTGGCCTAGGCACTGCCGGGGCACGCGCCCGTCGGCCGCCGACGTCGCGGCCGAGGCGCATTTGACCGCCGCCGCGCGGACTGGGCTTGGGAGGCCCGTATCTCGAAAACGGCTGGCCCCACGCTTGCCGCTCGCTGGAGACGAACGCTCGGCAATCGAATTTCGAGTGCGAGTTACTTTATGCGAATTGCGTGTAGCTGTCGCCATTTCCGTGCAAACCTCGGGAACGTGCATACAGAGCCGTCGGGGCGACAAACTGGTCCCCTGGGATGGCCTGCCGGGTCGCTGCCGGGCCAGGATGACGCCCAGCCTCTGTCCAATGACGCCCTTTGATTTTGCCATTAATCTTGCCGCCCATGCGAGTGTCTGTGAGTGTGTGTGTGTATGTGTGTGTGTGTCTCAACACTCCATCAAACGGCCGTTTCCCGGGACGTCGTGCTACTTGCCACACGGCAGCGTAAAACCTTGTTTTATCGCTGTCAAAGCAGAGCGGCAGAAAAACGGGGGGAAAACGTCATCGAGAAGGGGAGCGGTAGATTAGAGGTTCATGAGCGAAATTATGATCGAACCGCGCTTGTCGCGATAAACGGCGTCGCAGAACACGCGGGGTTTTGTAAAACGGCCGTCGTGGGTTCGAATCCTCGTCAAAGTAGACAGTTTATTTATTATTTTTTCCGCTGCCGTGTGTTGGCACTTCTGAAAGGGCTTGAAGGTGCGAAGGACCCGCTCAGTGGGCGGGGAGGAGGAAGGACCGCTGATTCATCAGACGGAGTGAGACGGACAGCGCGCCGGGTGGAGCTCGGAGCCTCTCCGAGCCACTGGGCCACGATTTATAGAGCCCGGCCACATTTGTTTTCCCCGACCTGGACAACAACCGGCGCGTTTTATGAAGCGAGCAGGGCGGCCGGCCCGGGGCGTGCCAGTGGCGTGCCGGGTGGCTGGCCCCGGCCATGCCGCGGCCGCACGTCGTCTCGCCCGCAATCTCGCTATCTCGCGCCAGAAAAGGATCGCCATCAGAACGAAAACGGCGCCGAATAGCGATGCATTAATTGGCGTGAGAGATGCCCGCGTTGATCGATAGAGCGCGCTGCGGGTCTGTGAGGCCGTGGAGCCGAGTAGGCTCGACTGGCACCACGCGTCGCCGTGTCGTCGTCGTCCTGCCTCGCAAGTTTGCGTGAACCGCCGCCAGGAGCGCTGGCCGAGCTGCTCGCCGAGCCTGGCAGGCAGGCTTCAGTCAGAGTAAGGGGGCGGGGTGAGTTGCGCAGTGAAGAACGGCGCGCCCGGCCTGCCTGCCTGCCTGCCCGCCTTCCCCCTCCACGAGTCTCCCTCCCCGCGCCTCGCAGCCCCGCGGCCCGCGCCTCCCCCCTTCCCCGGGGCCGGCCCTCCCCGCCGCCTCGCCGCGCCGAGGCTCGCCGGGCTACCCCCACCCCTCCGTCGGCTGCGGCAGCCGGTCGGTGATTGACAGTTGGTAGACAACTGCGGCGTGCGCAGGGTCGGTCCTGGATCGTCCCGGACGGTCGTCGGTTCGTTCGCGCTACGCCATCTTCACCTCGCAGGGCAACGATCGCCAGGGATCGGCTAGGACCCGTACCAAAACCCTGTGTCGCGTCGCGAGCGTCGCGAGCGCCGCGTTCTGGCAACGCCCGGGCGTTGCGGCAGTCTGACGGCAGTCTGACAGTGCCACAAAGTGCCGTCGCGACCTCCACTGGAATACACCGCAACGGAAGCAACCTCCGCCCCGACCAAATATTTAGTGCTGTGACTAGTGTAGTAGTTGTGTGATGGTGATGACAGTGCAGTGATTTCAAGAGCGTTGTCACCGAGAAGTGATTTCAAGTGCAACATAGTGCGTCTGTCGGCCGGGAATCTGTGTGCAATCGACAACGAAATAGTGCAAAAATCAAAGTGAATCAGTGATTACGCGCCATGTCAGGCCTACTCAGTGAGGTGTCAGTGCAGCGCAAGTGATAGTGCATCGCCTGGCTTCGCCCCACGCGGGCACAGCCACTCCCTTCCTCGACACAGTGCTCCTCACCCGAGGGCACAGGATTCCTCCAGAAGCGGCCTTCGGGCTTAAGCCTTTGAAAATCTCTTGCGGCGCGGTGTCCCAGCACGCGGAGTTTTCCGCGGCTGGATCTAAAAATCACATGGCACAGCCCAGGGTGAGTGTCCGAGCCGGCAGACCGGCGTTCGGGCTCGCGGGTTGTCACTGTGGATAGGCAACCCCGCCACCACCCCAGCTGTGCGGACGGACGGACGCTGACAACGACATGACAATCCTGACGACACGAAAAAATAAATATTTTGAGCGGGCAGATCGCCGGGTGGGAAGGTTAGGTCAAGTCTGCCGATGGCGGCAGTGGGAATTTGTCTAGATTTTCATTCCGGGGGTTGGACAGCAGTGAGGGGTGGGACGAGGCTGGTGTGAGGAGACAGTGGAGTCCAAGTGAATTATAGCCTTATGTGGGACATCTTTGGGTCGGGGAAAATCAGTTTGAGATTCTTAGCGCTTTCGTCCCGTTGGATTCCGGCGAAGAGGAGAGGAGCACAGCACACGCAGCGCAGCGGGAACAATCAAGGGGTACATGTATAGTCGTCGAAAAGGCCTCCGTGGCCGGGCAATGCCATGCCGGGCAGCAGGCCGGGCAGGTAGAGGCGATTCGTGCCGAGCCGAGCCGAGTCCAGCCGAGGCAGTGGGCCGGTGCCGAGCCGAGCCGTGCCGTACCTTTCCATCCAGGTATTGTCCCTCGTCCCCCAGCCTCGGGGCGGGCTGGCTGGCTGCAGGCTGGCTGGCTGCAGGCTGGCGTTGCCGGCCGCCAGGGGAGGCAGGCAGCAGGGGATGCGCTGCCTGGCTGCGGCCGGGGAATCTGGCCGACCTAACATTCCGCGTCACGCCGAAAACGAAAAACGAAAAATGGAAATGAGAATGAGAGCATCGCGCAGCCTACCGGCGCGCTGGTGGCGACGGCCGCGACGCCTTCGCTTCGCGCTGCTTCGCCTCGCCGGCCGGCACGCCTTGTTTTGGCGTTGTCGCATCAATGAGAGAAATGAAGGGCTGGAGGCCGCCGCCATCAACATGCCTCACGCGGGGGCGGACGGCACGGGCACAACGATACCCCGCGCGCCAGGGACCCCCAAGCCTTAGGCACGGCGCGCGCGGGCCAGCGCGGGGTATCGACGAGTACCCTCGGCAAATAAGAAGGGTCCACGGGCAACACTCGACGGGGCAAACACACGTCAGGCTCACAGTGCAGGCACTCGAGGCGCTGTTTTAAAAGCCATGAGGAGGCACTTTCGGCGTGATCAGCTGACCGCCGCAGGGGGTCGCCGTCGTCCTCTATGAAAGCTATCACTTTTTAGTATTCGAACGGCGCGCCCCGTGTGTCGCGGCCTAATAGGCATGCATATGTATTTGAGCCACTAAGCGAACCGCGGGCCGAGCGACACATCGGGAATACAGTGGGGCCGCAGGGCCGCAGGGCCGCGGGGTGTGACGACAATTTTAACAACGAGACGGCCGAACCGGAATAATGCAGCAGGCGCTGTCGTCCGCCGCGACGCCGTCCAGCGCCGCGACGACGTCCTCGAGGAGCCCGCCGACGCCGCCACCGCCGTCACCGCCACCGCCGTCACCACCACCGCCACCGCACTGTGAACGGATTTTAGCAAGACAATAGTGAAGTGCGTTCCCGGCACCCGTGCCGAAGTGGCCGAAGTGGCGCGGAATGCGTGGTGCGCGTGTGCGGCGGACGCGCGGGAAGACTTGAAAACGTGTGCAGACTTTTCTCACGGCGTGTGCGTGTGTGTGTGCGTCGGCCGCGCGGTCCGTGCGCAAATTAGTCGTGCAAAGTGGCAAAAGGCGAAACCAAGACCGGCATTTCCCAAAATCCCGGCGCGCGGCGCGATGCGGCGTCGCGTGCAAGTGCGGTGTCGCGTTTTGGTATTTCTCGAGTGAAAAAGTGAGGGTAAAAAAGGGCCGTTGTGGTCGCACGTGATGCCCCTACACTATACATTTGCGTAAATACCAGTTTGATGCGCCGGCACGGCCGACACCCGACACCGGCACGCACGCAACACGCACGCACGCACGCCGGCCGGCCGAGGCTCGGGCTGCCGCTTTGCGGCGCGCAGAGGGACCGAATTTCGGCCGCGTTGAATATTGTAATTGATGCATCAGATTACGCGCGCGCACCAGGGGAAGCCCTTTTTATTGTGCATTTGAGAAAAATTTAAAACTCGACATTTTGCCGTGTTTTTGTTTATTAAGAAATCGGTTCGACCGGCGTCTTCGGCGCGGCGGGCCTAAAGGCGGGCCGAGCCGGCCGCCCTCGGCACTCTGCACCCGGCACGCGAGGTTACAGTGTAGAAGTAGGGCGCGCTGATCGCGCCGTGCGATCTGGGGTCGGCCGAGTCGGCCGCGGGGCTGGAAAAGGAAAAATGTGAAGGGCTGTGGCCGAGTTTGACGAGTTTCCCGAATTTGGAGCGCCGCACGTCTTCGTACGCGCAGAGTGACAATCGCCCGAGCTTTGAAAAGCCGTGCGCGCGGCACTGTCAACAATTTCAAGCGCGTTAATTTGCTCATTGTACGGTTATTTTGGTTCCTGCCGAGCTGTAAATTGTGCGCGAAGCGGCCGTGCTCAATTGTGTATCCGAACGTTTACCGCGCACGCTTGTTACTCTGGCTTACGAGATGGAAGGCTCCCAACTCACGGCGCTTCGCGAGCTTCGCGGCCAAAGCGATTCGGCCTAATTTACAAACGGGATCAAATTCCGCGCGCGTTGGAGCGGACCGACGGACGTCCCTCGGGAGATGCAGTTTATCGGTCTAATTGTCGGACATCATCAAATTTGTAGAGGCCCGCTCCGCCGCGCTCCGCCGCTTCTTCGAGGACTTCCCGCAAGTCATGCGGCCGATCGGGCCGTCTCGTCTTGGCCGTCGATCCCAGTGTCTGGTGTGTCTGGCTCGCCTACCGACCGATTCCTCACAATTGTTTGGTCGTCGCTCTGTCTCTCTCGCACCCCTACGGGTCGCCGCAGGTGCGCGACGGCGACAGAGTGACGAGGCTTCGGAATCAGCCGGCGGCGTGCACCAGACTCGTCGTCGCCGTCCTCGCGGGGCACGCCGACGACGAGGCCGCTGGAGGGCAGGGCGGCAGGGCGCGAGGCTAATCGAAATGCTCGCTGTTTTGTGAAACGGCCGCCAAGTGTTTTACTTTCCGCTCCACTGCGAAACGCGGCGCGGCGCCCCTGCGGCCCCTTCCGTGTCTTTAGTGTCTTTACCGCCGCGGCGCGGATTCGTTACAAATTCAGGTCGGCGAGGGGAACGCCGCCGAGAAGGTGCACTATTCGCTTGCGCGCCCCACAACGCGCCCCCGGCGGGGCCTCACCGAGGCCCTCGTGCGTGCCTGGGGTGGCCCCGGCGGCGTTCGGCCCGCGCATTCTAACCGCGCACCTCGGCGTTCTGGATTCGGGGGAATGTTCGTGGCGCGGGGCACAGTGGGGCGGAAGGCCTGTTTTACACTGCACTGGATTCCCTGGGAGCGCGGTTACGTTCAGATTGGACTCGAATCGAACTCGAGGAGGTAGCAATAGCTTCCTCGTTCGACCGGCGATCCATTGGTGCCATCATGCCCCTGATTTGAGGGTCGTTTGGGGACCGCTGCGCTCGGCGAGAGTCTCAAGACGGCGGCTCGCTGTGTGGCGCTGGATTGGCTCTGGGTGTCCGTCGCCAGGCCGACGACTCGGTGCGACGCGAAGTGGCCTCAAATTCCCGCGTCGCTCCGATTCCGTGTTGCTGTTGGCCGGGCGCCGCGCGTTGGCGGCGATACGCGCCGATTGTGCGCTGTGTCGCTGTCTCTCTCGCACTCGCAGGGCGTCCCGCGTGCCCCGCGTGGGTGCGAGGGAGACAGAGTGCCGTGCGGAATGGCCGGGCGGTGCGAGAAACTCGCGTGAAATGGCGACACTTTGGACCGTCTTTCTCTCTCGCTCGCGGGTTTTGCATTTACGACGGCGAGCAGTAAATTGTCGCGCCTCCAATCTTATTGTGGCGCGGCTTCTGTCCGCGGCCTGCGGACTGGCTGCGAACCGCGGAGTCGCGACTTGTTGTTTTGCTCGTCGGCCGTCGCGTCTCCGCGTCTTGTCGACGGCGATGCCGCGGAGACCTGAATGCACTCCCCGTTAATAGTAATGGCGCAAGTGCCGGTCGATCGGAGAGACCTGGCTGCGCGCTGCGCGTCTCCGTGCCGCCACTGCGAAAAACGACTCAGCCACGCAAAAGCGGGCCGGGAGGCTGAGGGCGTCACGTTGTTGTCGCGACTGGCCTTTTTTTCGGCAACCTGTCCGAGGCGCCGGCCTCGCCGGTGACGTGTTCGCGCTTGAGGTCAAAGGTTCGACGTCGAGGACGTGTCGAGGACGGCGTCGGCCTCCTCGTCGTCCGCGCGCGACGCCTCCGTGCGCCGACTGCAGCGCGGAGGACACCCGATATCGTTGGCAGCCTCACCGAGCCAGTTGACCATCTGGGTTTAACTAAACTTAGCGCGGAACGGGAACGCCAACGGGGCGGTGGGGCCCTACCCGGCGACGCGATGCTCCGGCCCTGCCGTGCCACGCCGTGCCGTGCCGCGCCACGCCGTGCTCCGGCCATGCCCGCCAACCGCACCGCGAAACTCAACACCCTCCGGATCGGGTGTCGACCGGCCGACGCGGAAAAGACGGGGTCTTCGTCGTCCTCCGGGCCCCGGGGCGCGGGGCTGGCGGGCCTGGGGAGGCGCAGCCGCTGCCTCCGACAGCAACAAGCGACATCTTGTGCTCGTGTGAGATACGCAGCGGGGGCCGCCGGGGAGGCGGGAAGGGGGGAAGCCCGGCTTTAATTGGGATTTTATCGTCGCGAGCGTTTTGTTGTTGTTTTTGTTGCGAGTGTCACGTTTCGCGCGACGGATTGGATATTTTCCAGTCAAGTCTCCGAGCGGCCGGCGGTGCCGGCCGTGCTGGCCGTGCTGGCGATGAGACGCGCTAAGCAGCAAAAACCGAAACCGGCGGCGGCGTGTTGACATGTTTATACAAATGGCAAATAAATGCACTTATACGTATGTAGTAGTCGGCGGGCGCGGTGCGCGCAGTGCGCGGTCAGTCTGAACTAGATAGACGCCGTCTCTGTTGCTCGCGCCGCTCGCGGCGTTGCTTCCCTCTCGCTCCCTCTGCATTATTCATGGTTGCATCGGCTTATAAGGTGCACTGTTTCATACACGCACCCAAACAAGCCGGAGACATGCTGTTCCTGCTGGTGAGCCCTGCGATGCTGTCCTACACCGGTCGGCTTGAAAATGGCGATGCGGCAGCGGCCTGTGTGTGTCTGTGTGTGTGGGGGGGTCCCGTCGGTGACGCCTTATTGAATTTCTAAAGTATATGATTTTAAGATGGCGGTTGAGGCGGTTTCTCCTGTTTGATTCCCCGCTACTGTACAGTGGAGGCGTCACACCGGCCTGAGGCCCAAAGCCACAGCAGCAGGCCCCATTGAACGCAGCCTGCGATGAGCGGAATCTTGAAACGTGCACCGGCGAGGGTGGAAAGTAGGCCAGGGTCTGCGCGGAGACGTGTAGAGCTCTAGGCTTGAGTCGTCTAAAGTCTGAATTCACTTTTCGTGGCCATTTCTCCACTCGCTGCCGGTCCGTTTGTGTGGAAAGCACCGGCCGCGTTGTCCGGCACCGCCAGGCGCCTGCCTGCCGGCAGTGCGTTCGCACCCAGTTATGGATTTAAGGCATCTCACACGCTCGTGGAATAAATTAGGGCCGAATGGGCGTAAAAATCACGAGACACGGCACGTTCGCCGGACGTGCTCGTGCACCGTGGTCCTCCCCTCCCCCTCCACGCCGTGCTCCACGCCGTGCACGCCGTGCGTGGTCCGTGGGTCACAGCCCGCATTTTAATGTGTGGTAGCAGCGCCGCCCGGCCCGGCCCGCCGTGGTACCTTTTTGCCCTTGAATTTGGCACTTGTTTTATTTATGCCGGTCTTTGTGGCGAGCGGGAGCGTGTAGTTGTGTGGTGATGGGCCAGCCGGCCGGGCCGACGCGGCCAGAACAAGTAGCCTCGGGCGCGTGCATTGTCGTGGACGGGTCCACTGACGGGTCCACTGACGGGTGCCGTCCCGGGTTCGAGTCCCGCCGTGGGCTGCCGCCTTTTCCCGCCATTCATTGCCGCGTGATTGCGGCGCACGCGCTGCCACACTGGCCGAGTGGACCGGCCCACAGTGTGCCGCCAGGCAAAAGGGCCGCAGTGTTTTCGTCCTGTCGCTGGCGGCACTCTGTCGCTCCGTCTCTCTCGCACGCCCGCGGCACGCCGGCACGGCCCGCGAGTGCGAGAGAGACGGAGCGCTGTGCGCCCGGCCGCGTATCGGCTGTGAGTGACTGACGGCTGACCGACTCTCCGCGGCGGGACGCGGTACGGCGGGACGCTGGGGGCACGGCGAGGCCGGCCGAATCCTGGCGGCTCGTATAATACCTGTCAGCCCGGCGTGTCGTGTGTCGGCGTGGCGCGCGGCGTGTGTCGGTGTACGGAGACTGCCTTGTCGGGCCTCAATAATGCACCGCCTCCTTGATGTGGCCGATGGAATTGCCAAGTCTAAAGAGGCACAAAGAGGCCAGGCGTTGGCCGTTTTGTCGCCCGCTCACTTTTTAAGCGGCATTTATTTTAGATGAGCCGATCGCGCGGGCAGGACGCGGGCTAAATATTTGAGCGCGGTTCGCGCCCTAGCCCCGATGGCGGTGGGGGTGGTGCGGGATGTTTTTTCCGGGTTGCCGACGCCGCGGCCGGCCGGCAGGGGGCGCTGGCGGCGCTGGCGGCGCCAGATGGATGTCCTTGGGATTGACGCGGTGCTCGCGGTGCTCGCTGTGCCGGCAGTGCCGCGGGGGGCTCGTATCGCGCTTACGAGATCGCCAACGGCGCCGTGCACGCCGTGCTGTTCAGGTGCGGCGGCGGGGCGGCGCGGCCTGGAGTATGTGATGGCCGGGGGAGGGGAGGGGAGGGGCTTTCGCAAGTGTCCCCGCCGACATTACCATATCAAGCTAGCCGGGCCGCGGCGATGCCATCTCGACCGCCGCGCCGCGCCATGCAAAGCACCGGCCAGGACGAGGACCAGGACGACGACGACGACGTGCTGAAACCGAAAGCGCTGGCCGCCACGCACCTCAGGCCCCTCGCGTGCAGGACGACGACGACGGCCTGCCGAAACCGAGAGGTCCACGACGGCGTGCTGACGGGCAGGCCGTCGCCCCGGCCGTCGGGGATCGACGGCAACGAGACGAAGCTCGCGGCGTCTCAAGCCAAACCGCTTAATATTTATGTATGCCCCTGCGCGCGCCGCCACGCCGCGGCCCGATTTATGTGGGAACTAGTTGGCGCTGATTTAATGACCAGATTGCAAGTGTAAACATTGGCACTGATAAATATGGCGGGCTGACGGCGCCGCGCCGCCACTGGGGAAATATATGGATCGGCTGTCGCGGCTGTCGCGGCTGTCGCGCGCTCTCCAGCAGCCGATTGATATAGCGGCGGAGCCGTGCGGAGCCTCGGCCGGGTCGTTGCCTCGCTTATTTCCCATCGATAAAGGTGTCGGCGGCGGCCTTGACGGCGGCCTTGGCCTCGCCTCGGCCTTGGCCGCCGCGTCCTTGGCGGCTACGCCACTGGCAGCGGTGGGCGTGGTGGACGCTCTAGCGGCCGGGCGGGGCCCGGAGTAGAGTTAGAGTTAAAGAGAGAGGAGAGAGAGGGAGAGAGAGGGAGAGAGAGAGAGAGGGAGAGAGAGAGAGAGAGAGAGAGAGAGAGAGAGAGAGAGAGAGAGAGAGAGAGAGAGAGAGAGAGAGAGAGCGACGACACCCAGAACGAGGCTGCTGGAGCCCTACGCCACCGGCGGCCGCCATGTTGTGTGCATGGGCAGGGCGGCAGGGCGACGGGGCGGCCATGGCGGCGCGTTTGAATGAACAGGTGCACAATGCAGCTGGCGGGCTGCGCGGGCTGCGCATGCGCGCTGCACCCCGCCGCGGGGCACGACGGCGCGGCACTGCAACTGCTGCAACTGCACCCAGAAGGGGGCCCTGGCCGCCCCGGCGCGCCATTAGGGTATCGGTGGTGCTTGCTCCTTGTTGCTGCCTTGCAGGACTTGCACGCTGCCGGCACGCCGGGGCACTATGGCCCGAGCCGGCATTAATTTAATTAGGGAATTAAATTTACATGTATGCGCAGCGTCGGCGCGCGCTTTTATCATATTTTAAGTTTATCTCTGGGCTCTGCTGCGCTGAATTTAATGTTTACATTAGCTTCGATCGGTCGGATTGGGTTTCGGGTTCGGGGGGTTTTTGACTGTGGACGTCGGTATTAGCATTCTGGTGGTTCAGGGTCGGGCCGCGTGACTGGTCTCGGGGTTTCAGGGTTTCAGCGCCGGGCAGGATGGACTACTGACGGGCGGGACCTTGACCTTCGACACCTCGGCGCGTCTTAGCCTCAGCGTGACGTCACGTCTTGACAGGACATCGACAGGTGTGTCATGAGGCTGACGGGGTGGCAGTGATGACCCGCGAGCTGAGACGAGCGACTGTGTGTGTGCGTGTGCGCGTTGTGTATGTGTGTGTGTGTGGATGAGCGGGGCTGATGGAGATCGACCGTGTGAGTGTGTGGGAGGGGGCTGAGTGAGTGCTTGAGCGCGGGTGCGAGTGCGAGTGAGTGTGATACAGAGGGACGAGGCTTGATCCACTGGTGTTGGTTCGCAGTACGATGAGGGCCTCCACGGATACATGGACGCCGGGGGGTCCCTGTACGACAGCCATCGGGCGCTGCAGGGCATGCCCCACGCGCACCACTCGCCGCACGTGGGCAACCACGCCCCCGCCATGCACCCCTACAACCACGTGTCGGCGCCCCAGAACCACGTCATGGCGGGCGGAGTACCCGACGTCCACAAGCGGGACAAGGACTCCATCTACGGGTGAGTACCTCCTTATACTTTGTAGTGTAGTTGCCTGTGAGTGCTTTCTATATGCGCGGATTGTATCTCCTCGTTGCTTTCCGCGAGGAATGCTTATCGCTTAATCTGCGGACCGCCCTCCGTGGTTCCCGCCAGATTCCCCCCAGATGAGCTGTTCGAGTGGACGCGATTCACGCTGCGGCCCTTAAACAAGAATCGAACGCACGAAGCGCGATGCGCTGCTACACTCGAGTGTCTGACGAACACGGTCGGAACGCGACCGCGCCCTCCGGGTCCTCCATTTGTCTCCGCGCTGGAATTTGATAACGCTGGCTCCGGAAATTGGAGTTATGCTGGTCGGGCCTGTCGCGGTCCGGCTCCCCATTTTCCTTGATCGTCCCTTTTGGCCGCGGCCCAAACGAGCGAGAATTAAATGTGGAATTCTTTATGCACGGAAGTCGAGGCGGCGGTGTGGCCCCGGCCGGCCTGGCACACTGGCAATGCCGCGTGGCGGCCGCGCTCCTGCCATGCTCCTGCTGATGGCGGCGCGGCACACGAACAACGCATTGCCCGAAATAGCCTTGTTGGCGGCGCGACACGGCGCGACACGGCGCGGCACGGTGGGGCACGGCGACTCCATTGATTAGCGCCCCCAGGCCGCGGTGCCGCGGTGCCGCCAGCCACCGCGCCCTTTAAAGCGGAGCGCGCGTTACGCGGCCCGGGGGGTACTACACTATTTTGCGGCGCATCGATCCGAGATTTGAACTTGGCGCCGCCGTGGCCGCGGCGCTCGCCGGGCGTGGCGTGAGGGTGCGAGAGAGACAGAGCGGCGAAGGCACACTGTTGGGAGGCGGCCTGCGGTTCTGGCCACGAAGGGCGCCGACGTCGTGCTGGAGGTGGCGTGCTGCTGTTATCATACCGGCCGGCCGCCGCGGGCGGGGCGGGGCGGGGCGTGAGGCCCCACGCCGGGGAATGGCCCCGGGTTTTACGGTGCAGGGCGCTCCGCCGAGGATCGCCGCGGCCACTAGAAGCGCCTGGAGTGCGTCTCGCGTGTGCAGTGCGCTGCCAGTGTGCCAGTGTGCACTCTGGGGCGCTAGGCGCGAGCGTGGCGATGTTCTCAGGTCGGTGGGGCGGAGGGAAGAAGCGGCGCCGAATATTGCTGTCGTAAAAGTGGCGCTTCCCTCCGACGCCTTCACCCCGCCACGCCCCGCCACGCCCCGCCACGCCCCGCCACGCCCCGCCACGACAGGCCCGCGCCTCTCTGCGGTTGCGTTCTGATTCCCGCTTTGACCCCATGCGGCCATGCGGGCAGCCGGCCTTGCGCGAGGTTAGGGAGGTTAGAGAGCCCCCGGCTAGCTGGAGTGGTGGCCGGGCTCTCCAAAGGTCAGTCTGTCTCTCTCTCTCTCGCACTCACGGAGCACCCCGTGTGGGCGCGAGAGAGGCAGACGGAGCCTGCTGGCGCGTCACTCTGGGAACGAATCAATCTCTTGATTGCGTTTTGGTCCCGTCGTGTTTATCGCGGCCGACGCTGACACCCTCCCCGTCTCCCTCCCCCGCCTCGCGTCCTCGTCCTCATAAACGTGGAACGACCATTATCTGCGGAAAAATGTCGGCGCGCGTACATTTCGGACCGAGGAAGAGGAAGGGGCGACTGGCCCGCGGGAAAATCAATCTCGATAGTACTTTACGGGTCCGGAGCTCCGGAGGAGACCGTCTCCCCCGCCGCCGTCCTCGCCGTCGAGTCGCGCTGCTGCTACTGCACTGCTGCTGCGCGTGTGTGAGAGAGTGTGCCTCTCTTGTGGGGGAGTTTCGCCATTTGTGACGTCAGAACCAGTTTGTGTCGCCGCCGCTGTGTGTGTGTGCGTAAGTGCACTGCTGGTGGGAAAATGGGTCCGGCGGAAGATTTTGGCGGGGAAGTGGCGGCGGCTGGCCGATACGGCGTCGGGAGGTTCGGGTCCGTTCGGGTCCGTCCCGCGGCGGCCGAGCGCGCCTCGTGGTGGCGGTGGCAGGGCCTGGCAGGGGTGTAGGGGGCACCGCCGCCGGGGATGATTGACAGGCGTTTCCGGCCGTTAAGGGCCCGGCCCACCGCGGACTTATTTTTTTCAGTGTGGGCGAAGGGGGAAGGGGAGTTGATGGTGGACAGGGGTTATCTGTGGCTGCATGGATTCGATAGTGTCGGGATGTTTGTGCGCGTCCGATGATTTTGGCGCGGACTGTCCACAGTGTGGGCGTCGCCGCGACGAGGAGGAAGATGAGGAGGAGGTCGCCGATGACGATGAGGAGGCCGTTGTGTCACTTTCCATTTTGGCCGGGTCTTCTTTCGGCCGCGGCGTCTGCACCCGTTAGGCGGGGCCGGCGTCATCAATCTCGAGCCCCCCCCTCCCCCTCCCTTCCCCCTCCCCGCCACCCTTAATGTCAGCGCCTGGATTTATAAGGGTCGCTGGCCCACTGCGAGGCACGGCCCACGGCCGCCGCCGCGCCAGTCAGCTGACTGTCACTACTTGTAGAACCGCGAGGCCCCGCGCCGCTCTAGAACTGGAGCACCTTGGCCAGGAGGAGTGGAGGGGGTCTGCTGGCGCTGCCGGCGGGTGGCCGCGGAGTACCTCCTCGCGCTCGGTGTGCTTGGTGTGCTTCGGAACACATCGCGTTTTATGATTACGGGATGATGCCGCTGTAAATGTTGGTTGCCGTGAAGGCGGGTTGTATACACGCGTTCGCCGTGTCGCTGCCGGCGGCCGGAGTGTCCGGGGCGGGCGCGGCGGCAGCTTGAGGGCGCGCTGATTGCAGTCGCTCTGTCTCTCTCGCACCCCCGCGAAGCACCGCGAAGCACCGCGAGTGCGAGAGAGAGAGAGAGGGGAGGGGCGAGGAGCCCCGCGAGGGTGGCGCTGCGGCCGGCATTGAATGGTCATTGTCCCCGAGGAGGCCGTTTGCTGTTTGTTGTCTTCTTTCCTCCGCGTCTTCTGCTGGGCTCGTTATTTGCGCCGTTTCCCGCTACGTACTCCCCCTGCCTGCCGCCCTTTGACAACGCCCCTGCCGTCTCTCTCGCACACAGAGGCGGCCCTGCTTGTTGACGCCGGTGTGTGTTGTCGTGCAGCAATTGGTCGTGGAATTGGGAATATCGAGCGGCTTCGTTAATGAGCCGCTTTGGCGCGCTTTGGCGTTCCCCAGGAGACACTTTAGTGCTTTCCTGCCCTCTTGTTGTTGTTGTTTTCAGTGGAGGTCAGTGTGCTCGCGCGGCAACACGGAATAAATTGTAATAAATCGGTGACAGTCTTGGCGCGGCCGGCCGCGGTGGCTCGATGGCTTACGCCCCGCGGAGTCTGATGCGGACTCGGCTAATGAAATAGCGGCCGCGCGAAAGTGAAATCGCATTCCGAACACGCCCTCGCAGTGTGCCGTTCTGTTATAAGTGGCCGTGGATTTAGTTTTGGGTAGTTTTACGCGGAGGACAACAACAAGAGGAAAATTATAGAGCCGCCGTCGTCGTGGAGGTTGGGGGGGGGCAAGGCTCATGGCAATCCGTGGCTGTCACTAGGTTGTCACGGGCCCATGGCGGCGAGGCGTGGCGTGGCGTGGCGTGGCGCTCCTCGTGCACTTACCCTTGTTCGCTTTTAAATTACCCTCCTTCAACAGCTTCCAAAATTGTGCACCCTAATTATCCAAGTGGTGCGGCGCGGCCCCTCGGTGCCTGGCTGCCTGGCTGCCCGGCCCCCGTGCGTCGCGTGTCAGCACGCTTTCGCCCCCCTCTCCGAGGCACGCAGGTCGACGACGACGTATTCAAAGCGCTGTTTAGTTTCCTTGCGCGATGGGATTGAATCATTATTGCGCGGTGGTGACCGCGGTCTTCAAGAGCGTCCATTTTTCATCTTTTCGTTGCATTATTGACGACGACATCGTTGGCCTGATGGACGGGGCGGCGCGGCCCTGGCTGCCCTGGCGGCCGATGTCCCGGTGCGCGCCCTGCGTGTGCACGCCGTCGTGCACCGGACCGATTCCGAGCGGGAGGTGTGTCTCTCTCGCACTCTGGGGGCGGCCCGTGCGCGTGCGAGAGAGACAGCCTCACCTTGGCATCAGCCCGCGGGCTTGCCGGGGGCGCACGCACGCACACACGCCCCGCACGCGAGCCGCCGCGCCCATGTTGTGCCGTGCGCGCCGCGCCGTCCTGGGATTTAAATTGTTGAGCGCTCCTCTAAATGTTTGATCCCGGTGTGTAACTGCCAAACTGCGGGCCCCGGGGGAGCGGGGCGGCCGGGGGCGGCCCAGTCAGGCCCAGTGCACCCGGAACGACGGCGAGTGCGTGTCGCCGGCCGCACCAAGACCCCCCTGCTGCTGCCTGGCGGCCTGGCGGCCTGCTCCCCGCGGGGTGGCTGATAAGCGCGTCCTGGCTGCCCCGGGTAAATACTTAATGCGCTGGAAATGCACCCGCGCGTCCGCGTTCTGCGGTCGCGGGTTCGCTTCCCGCCGGGGCCTTGCGGTTTTCGGTTTCTTTTTTCGGGTGCGTGTGTGACGGGCGCACGCTGACAGCTGACTGGGCCGGCGGTGCTGGTGGCGGTTTTCGGGCCGCGTTGGCGTCGACGTGCTGTAGGCCCAGCTGCCGCGGTGCGCGAGCAGGGCGGGGTGGCTCCCGGCCACCCCCTGCCCCTCGTAAAGCAGCCCGCTCTCTTGCCTTGATAGCGCGTAAAAGTTGGCGACAGTCACATCGACTTTAGGGCCGAATAAGCATCCTTTCATGTTTTGTTGTTCTAGTCTTGATGGTTTGTTAAGCAGTTGCAGTTATCTCGCGTCAAGATAAGGCGCCGTTTAGTGGCCAGTGGCTGAGCAGCGTCTGTGCGGCCCCGCCCCGCCCCGCCCCGCCTTGATGAACCATTCCAGATTATGTGCGAGTTTACTGTGTGCGCGCGCCACCCCCGCCGCGGGCCGCGCGGGCCGCCTGCTCCTTGGCGAGGAGGTGGCCGCGCCGGATTTTCCGTTTGGAGTGAGCTTGATTTTGATGGCTCCTGAAATTTGTAGTTGCGTCGTTCGGTCGTCTCGGCGGCCGGAATGGAATCGCTCCGGTCGTAAGAGCCCCTCGCGTTTTGGCCGTTTGGGCTTTTATCGAGACGGGGATCGAGAGGGTGGCCTGCACGGCCTGCACCGCGGTGCCGGGGACGCGACGCGCCACGACGCGCTGCTGCAGACAGCCCCGCCGCACCTGGGCAGCGCGGGTCTGGGCCGGCCCGGCCAGGGCACCGTTTACCTAGAAATGTTATCCTGTTTGGACACCGTCGTATGTGCGTCAGATTGTCCGCGTGTTTGCTTGGCTTCCGATCATCAATGGAAGGTCAACACGACCGACACACGCGACGCGGAAAACTTGGTCCGATTTGACGGTTGATGGCCTTCCGAACAACAACAACAACGTGCATGATGATGTTGTTGCTGGACGCGGCGTCGTGTGAATTTTGAATGATGACTGACCCGTTTGGTGTGTTTTTTCTGTTGCAGCCACCCCCTCTTCCCCCTGCTGGCCCTTATCTTCGAAAAGTGCGAGCTGGCGACCTGTACACCAAGAGAGCCCGGAGTCACGGGCGGCGACGTCTGCTCGTCAGAATCCTTCAATGAAGATATTGCAATTTTCTCAAAACAGGTGAGTCGAGTTCAAGTTAAAACGGGGTTTGGAAGTCGCCGTTTGGTTTGACGGCGGGGAGTGAGGCGGAGGAACGCGGGAAGAGGGGGGGGGGTCTAGGGGTGGCTGGCTGGTATGTGTTTACCTCACACTGCAGGAGGGGAGGTGGAATGTTGGGGAGTCTGAAGCACCCTCGAGGCAGCTGTGCGTGTGTGTGAGAGGGACGGCGCGACCGACGCTCAGCGGGAGTGCATGTGTGTGTGTGAGAGAGTGTCTGTGTGCAAACCCGGGCCCTTATCTGCGTGTAATTGTTGCTCATGGCAATTGGATTAAGCGCACGGTGGCCTCGGCGGATCGAACCTGTTGGTGCAGCCCCATGGCCGCGGCGGTGCAGCGCACCAGCAGCGTACACGGCATTTGTTTTCTTTTCACGATTGAGTCGTCTTGATCGCTGCGCCAAGCTGCGCCAAGCTGCCCGCTCTTCTGCATCATTGCCTTTTTTACGACGAGCGTAACGATGGCGATCCCACGACGATCCGCTCCGTGCTCGTCGTCATCCTGGAGGGTCGTCGTCGGCGTGCTGCGGTCGCGCCTCGCCGTCGGCGCCGCGCTCACGCTGTGCCTGGCTGTGCCTGGCTGTGCCTGGCTGTGCTTGGAGGCGTTTACGCTCACAATGCGGACGCCGCGGGCGGCGCGCTCTCTGTACAGTGTGGCGGGGCGGCGAGGCGACGCGGCGTGGCGGCCGTACCGCCCGGTGCTCTCGGTGCGCCGGGCTGCGTGCTGCGCTGGACCGATGCTCATTTATTTGACGCCGAGCCGGGCCGGCCGGGCCGCGGGGGGTGGGGTGGGGGGTGGGGCCGACGGCGGGATTAAAAAGGCAGCCGCGGAGGCCTTCGTCGTCGGGGCCCCGATTTCCCCCGCCGGGAAAAGCGACTCTGGAAAATGTTTCGGCGGTTCCTGGCGGCGCGGGCAGAGCGCGGCGCGGACCCGGCAGATAGGATTTTCCATTCATCGCGGGACCGGCGGCGGGCCGACGGCGCGGCTTTTGTAAACGGATGTGAAAAAGAGGAGGAGAATTATTTAAAAAGATTGGAGCCAAAGCGGGCAGGTAGACGCTGCTGCTGCAGCTTGGCGGCAGTGAGCGGGCAAGCAAACAGCGCGTCATTGAATGCGTACGAAGACGAACTCAACTGGAAAAAAAGTGAACCGGTCTTTTCACAAACATCGGCAGGGGGGATGGGAGGGGAGCAGGGAGCGCGCTCCGCACGGACGACAGTCGGGCTGGAAGGCTGCGAGGGAATGCGCGGGCGACGCTCTGCTTTGGAGGGCCCCCCTGCCCCGCGCCCCTCGGCCCCGCCAGCCAGGCCCCGCCGGGCCCCGCCGCGGGGTATATTTTGCCGCTCATCAGGGGAGCCGCTGTGTCTGCTGAGTCTGCCGGAGCGGGGCCCAAATCTGCAAAAAAGGAGTCGAGTTGGCCGCGAAGGGCGACCGGGCCAGCGCGGCCAGCACGCCCAGCACGCCGGCGAAGGACTTCTTGCGGTGTGCCGGGCCGGTCCTCCGGTCCTTGGGCGTGCGTTCCTCGGAGCGGCCAACGTGGAAACGGAGATCGTTTCTGCCGAATTCGGCCGCCGGTTCCACCAGACCAGGGCCAGGGCGTTCCCTGGCGGCCGCCACGCGGACTGGTGGCCGCGGACGAGACGGAGGAGGAGGAGGAAGGAGTCCTCCTGGTGCCGCGCTCAGAAGCAGCAGCGATTTCCCGAGAAAAATGGCGCCCAAGTGCGTTAACCTCGGCGGGCCGTCTCTGCGGTCGGGTCGAATTGGAGTCGCGGGGCGCGGAGGGGGCCGCGGTTTGGAAAGGGGGGGGGGGGACGCCCCGGCCGTGCACGACTCATGGCGACCAGCCCGCCGCCGCGCCGCCATGCCATGGCACAGCTATTCGTCATTATGTCCGCCGTGAGCGAGTCCTTGTCCTTCTCTAGAGACGCTGCCTTTGCATCACAATGGCGGCCACGACGGGGCTCTCCCACGCGCCGCGGCGGGGCTGTGTCCGGGGCGGTCCGGGGCGGTCCGGGGCGCGAATCGCGACGGCCACCTGCCGGACGCGGAGGACGGCGTGGACGGGCGTTCGGTTAGTGTTTTTGCCGGCTGCGACATGCCCGCCGTGCCGCCGTGCCGCGTCCAGTTAGGTGGCCGCCCCGCCCCGCCCCGCCCCGCCCCGCCTTGCACTCGGCCGTGTCCATCTTTTGGTTTTCTCTCGTTGCGTTGCACAACCACCGATTCGAAAACACGATAAAGGCTTGCGCGTCGTAAAATCGGTCGTTAGAGCGAGAGAGAGAGAGAGAGAGCGAGAGAGAGAGAGAGAGAGAGAGAGAGAGAGAGAGAGAGAGAGAGAGAGAGAGAGAGAGAGAGAGAGAGAGAGAGAAGGGAGCGAACGCAGCGAACGCTACACGGGACGAGTCCCGGGGTCCCGAGAGCAGTTTGAATGCGGTAATTTTATGACTCGGTAAATATGTTTGGGGGCTTCGCGGGGCTTCGCGGGGCCGCGCGCGGGGTGGCTGCGGCGTCTTGGCACGTCGCTTGGAGTGAGTTTGAACCGCGTCCGCGTCGTATGTGTCCTTGCCAGTTTGTAGTGTCTGGCCCGGCTTGCCCGAGGCTCGCCGCGCCGGTGGTGGTGCTTCTGCGCAAATCTTGCCAACGCCTCGCAAATTTATGGCTTTATAACACCGGTCTAATTTATCAGGGCGGATGCGGATGCTGCCCTCGGCGACGCCCCTCTCTCCCCACGCGCGCGCGCACACACACACACACACACACACACACAATGCGAGCCGCGTCTTCGCGAACCACCTGCCGTCTCAGCGCCGCCGCCCATGGCGCCCATGGCGCCCGGCGACGCTGGTCAGCTAGTCGTCGCGACGCCTCGGGGCAGCCAGGCTGCAGTCTGCAAGGCGTTGGCCGGAACGCCCATGGCAGTGTGTGTGCGTGCTACCTGTACCCGGCAGGGCCCGCCGGGCCGTCCTTCCTCGCCAGCCTACCTAGATAAGATAGTTGTGTGTGCCGCGGCCCTATCGTGCTGCCTGCGTGACTGCCGGCATGGCTGCCTGCCCTGGCTGGCTGCGCGGCTGCGCCCATGGCCCCAGCGCGCCCAGCGCCCCAGCGTGGCCATGCGGCCAGGGCGCGGCGCGGCGCGGCACGGCGCACAGCTACCAAAACATTCTTGGGCTGCTTCCGGCCGGCGTGCGTCCTTGCCCTGCCTGCGGGCCCTGCTGGCCCTGCGGGCTGATTCCGACCACGCCCTGTCTCTCTCGCACTCGTGCGTCGTCCCGCGGGCCCGTGGGGTCACGAGAGGGACGGAGAAGCACTGTTGAGGCTGAAGGGGGCGACGGCGGTGCGACGGCGACGTCCGTTCCACCGAGATATCCTGCGCACACGGGGGCAGACGGGCGGAGACGGTGGACAGGCAGAGACGGACAGCCGGACGGTCGGGCGGACGGACGGGCACACTGGCAAGCGAGCGAAGGCCGGCGCGGCGGTCGGATGGCTGGATCGGGGTGACTGAGATGCATTCGGAATGAGACGGAGAGCCACTGGGCCAGATCGGGGATCGAGGCGGCCGCCCCGCGCCGCCCCGCGCCGCCCCGCCGGCTGGACCTTACCTCGTATCGCGTGAGCGAGTGCGTGCAGCGAGGGGCCGGGCAGCCTGGCAGTGCCTGGCAGTGCCTGGCAGCCGCAGGCCGAGGTTTGAGACCCCCGCTGGTATCTTAGCTGGCGGCAGAGCGGCAGAGCGGGCTGAGAGGCCCTTTCCCTTGGATACCCTGGATCCCTGTTACCTTGGCGTGTAGGGCCGCCCCGTCTGTGTGGCCTCACGGCCTCACGGACCGTGAGCCTCCAAAGCCCTTCACCGTTGGATCGGAAATCGTGTCTGCCGCTGCGTTGAGCCGCGTAGTACCCGGTGCAGCGGCGGCCGCGAGCAGTGGCCACCAGCCAGCGCGGCGCGGCGTGGCGGGGCGTGGCGGCCTGCTCGTTGTGGCGTTATGCTAGCGTTCTCGGAAAACGCGGCCGGCTTCGTAGAATGCGGGACGCGATCCCAGGCAAGCGGGGCAAGCCGGCCAGTCCAGGGAAGGCAAGGGGTACGGGGCGGCCGGGACGGGGCAGTACATGAGCAGGCGAGGCAGGCAGGCCGAGCGGCATGCCAGGAAAGGGAAAAATAAAGGATCGGGTCTGCTCGCTGCGCTGCGCACGAAGCGCGCCCGGCAGCACGGCGTACTCGTTGGGCTCGACCAGGCTCGGCCACTCACTGTTTTTCGCCTCGCCTCGGCTCGGCCCTTTCGCCCTTTCTTGCCTGCAGTCCGTGCGCGCAGCGGCAGCAGCGTCTTTCATTTTTATACACAGTTTATATGGTTTATTGCAGCGGCCCGTTGCATTGTCGCAGCGCGCGGTACAGTAGCCGCTCCGTCTCTCTCGCACCCCCGCGGCCCGGCCCGTGAGTGCGGGAGAGAGGCCCGTCCCCTCGCTTTGGGTAATTGCGAAGCTTCATTTCACTGTCCGGGCGGCGTGGCGGCGTAACTGCCACGCGTCTGCTCGACATGCCGCGCTTCTGAGTCCGCAAGGCTCCGCCGCCCATCTTTGCCTGTTCGGACCGTTCGGACGCGTCGCCGTGCCGCCGGTGCGTTTGATGTGTCGTCGGCGGCCTGCCTTGGAAGCCGCGGACGCGCCGCTCGCAGGTCTCGCGGCCAACGCCCCACCCGGACTTCCGGGCTGCGGCCAGCACGACGCCGCCGCCATTGCGAATCTGTTTTTTCCTACACGATTTTGTTTGTGTGTTCCCCGGTGATCAGCGCTTACTCCTGCACTGTAAGTGGCGGAGATTTGCGGCCACCAGATACGGGCGCAAGTTACGGCGCGCCGGCTGTTCGGCCGGGGATATTGTATTGATTTGGGCATGTTTATGGAACCACCATGCCGCGGCTTGGCGAGGCGTCTAGCGGGCACGCGCGACCAGCAGCGCTACATGGAACGGA